AAGAAAGAGTTCTTGTTTGATTCATTATCAATTTTTTTTTTTAATTTTACAAACGGGATTAAAAGATTAACATATATTTTTTTTAATTAATTTTTTAAAATATATTTTAAAGAGAATGTGCCATCCTATCAATTCAGTTTGTGAAATTTAAAAATTTCACTGATAATGGACGAAATAATATCTCTTTAATAAATATATATGAGTTTATTTTTCATACATTGACAGTACAATTTTTTAATTCAATAAGATTTACATGTCTTAGTTCTTTTTTTAAAAATTCTTTAACAATACTTTTTTGTATTTTTTATTGCTGAACATGTTTTTTAATTTTAAATTCTAAAATGGTACCAATATTTTATTGTAAATATAAAAAAGTTTAAAGGAAAAAAAAGTTTTTTTTGGATAAATTACAATTATATATATAAAAAATTATAATTATAATTAAGTATTATAAACATATAAGAAATTATTAAACAATCAACAAATAAATTAGAACATAACTAAACAAATTTAACATAAAATTTAACCAAACCCATATATAATGAGACCTGGATTTAAGATCTCAAGATTTTAAGTTTTTTGTTTTACTGCTATTAAGTCAAGCCCTCGTTGATAAGAAAAAAAATTTTGAATGTTTAAATTCAAGTATTTTAAAAAATAGTTGCAATTGCTTTCATAATTGTTTCAATCTTTCGCATACTATTATCCTAAGTAATTAATAATGATCAAAATTATTTTATGAATATAGGGTCAACTTTGCTGATCAATTATTGATATTGTGCCCAAAATATGTTGTTTGGACTTTCTTTGGAGTTTTTAAAACAAAATGCAAGAAAGTGGTATAATTGAAAGCTTGAAAGTTTGAGATTTAATTTTATAAAATTAGCAAAAGGCCAACAATATAAGAATTTTCAAATGAACTAATGGTTTAAAGGGAATATATTAAAAAAAACTATTGAAATTGAAGCCACAACTAAAAACAAAGTGGACCAAAAAGAAAACAATATATATGATAAAGGCAAACGTTGATGACTGATCTACGCAATCACTTCACCTTAAAGCTGTGGTCCTTGAAAATTTTGATGGTTTCTTTAGTCTTTCATGCTAAAAGAATCAATGTTTTACCGACTGATTTTGGCTCATATGACAAAGAGTTTTATTTTTTTTTATTTTAAGTTTTAATTTGTTGAAAGAATATAAAAAAATAATTTTTATGAATTCATTAAATTTAACATATAAATATCTACTTATATCAACTAAAAAAATATTAAATGACTGAAAAAATACTAAACGAAGCTTAAAAACTTCTTACCACTAAAACAATACATGTTATCTAATTGCGAGTTGTCAAGGTTTCACTTACCTCAACTAAAAACCTCGATTAAAAAAAAAAAAAAACAGAATTAAACTTCAAAATCAGCCCTAACATTGCATAAATGGCTTGGTGGGAGCATTTGGGTTCAATATTAGCTGCACCTTTTTTTTTTATTTTTTGCTATTTAAATTAATAAACAAAGTTTTATGATTCAACTAAAACTTATATAATAAATAAGAAACATGAAATCATATGAGAGACAGACAGATAATAGATTTTGCAATTTTTTTAATGAATAATAAAGGGTTTTGAATTGATGTAATTTGGTTAGGATATATTAATAATCCACTGTGACATGAATAATGTTCCATTATGCATGGTCCATGTGCTGGATTCCCCTTAAATCAATTGGTCTAATGGATGGTGAGTCCACATTATAATTTTCTCATTTTCTGCCAGTTTTTTGCCCCATTTTCTGTTTAATTTTTTTTCAATTAATGATTAAATGAAAAACCATATAAGCTTCAAGTTAAAAATTTTTGTTTTTATCAAAGAAAGATTCGAATTCGATTTTTTAATTGAGAAATTAAATATATTTATCATTGAACTAAATAATAGAACTTAAAAAACTTGAATCCTATGAATAAAAAATGTTATTTATATCAAGTTAATTGGGAAGGATTATAGCTAACCATTGTAGGACAAATAAGATCTTCAAATTATTTTTTTAAAAAAAAGAGCAAAGAAAAGAAAAGAAATGTGTACATTGTTTTTATTATTAGTATAATTAATTTTTTGTAGTTCATATGTTGAGAATGAATGTTAAATATAGAAATCTTAATCTTCTTATGTATTAAAAAAAAAGAAAAAAAAAAGAAAATATTCAACATCACAGTACTTCACATATCATGAACTTTATTACTCAATTGTTATACCACATGGTGATCTCTTAAAGAAGAAGCATGATTCTAGAACACATGATGTCCATGCATGTCACTGCCCCAACAATGGCAAAAAGAAATGGAAACTAATTTGATGCATGTGATAATGGTAATGAAGTTCATGAGTCATGCCCCTGTGATTCTTTCTTTTGCTGTTTTTTTTTTTTAATTGTATTTTTATATCTTATTTGGCTTTTAACAAATTAAAAATTAAACTTTTTTTTTAAAATTCTTTAATTTCCATATTTATTTAAAAGTAACGAGAGAATTAAATATTGCAATAGGTTATTAGAGTTAAAAGAGTATTTATCTTACCTCATCATGAGAAAATTGTGATGAAATTGTCTTCACAATAAGAAAGAAATTCCTAAAATCTTAAAATTTTATGTTTAAATCTTATCGGATTTGGTCTAAATTTGTATTGGATTTAGTCAATTAAGTGTTAATTCTTTGATTGATTTATTTATATGATTTAATTTAATAAATTTAATAATTTGTAACTTCTCCTATACATGTTATGTGCGTCACTTCATAAAAAATGTAATTAAATATAAATCTCAACAGACTACTTCATACTTATTTTTATTTTTATTGACCTCGGTAATTACAAATAATTATATAATCTTGAATAGAATATTTATATATAGCTAAGAGGTTGTAACTTTGATTAGGCCTAATTAAATATTGTTTAGCCAACTAAATCTCTATAAATATTAAGGAAAATCTGGCATTTGTTTTCTTCTTGCCTCTGCCAAAAATGAAAACCCTTTCCTCCAATAACATGGTTCTAATAGCTGAACTGCAAGCCTAAGATAATCCTTAATAATTCTTAATAATTACTTTAAAAAAAAGATAATCAGTTACTTTATAAATAACGGATTTGAATATTTCAAACAGGTATTTGATATAAAAAAACATATAGTAATTTTTAAGACTTTTTTTCCATTTTGTTATCAATTATGAATTTCAAGCTGCCATTGGCAATTTCAGAAAAGAAAAATAAAAAACAATCCACATGTTATACCACATGGCATGTTTCAACTTTCATCTCTTTGGCTTCCTTTACCAGCGCCAGTAGTCATCTGTTTTTTGGACAAATTGACAGGTCGTTTTAAGCTTTCGTTATCCTTGGGGAATTTTTCCTTTTTTTTTTTTTTAAGTCAAATTAAAAATGCAACCCTTAAGTCATACATAAGAAAAAAAAAAAAACCCAAATTTATTTTTTACAGCAAATACTTTATTTTTTGCTTTTTTAAATAATCTGAAGATAATAAGATAAGAAATTATAAGTGTTGAGATTTGAATTTCAAATTTTTTTTAGGGTTAATTCTATGAATCAATTAAATTAAATTTCAAATTTGATACTTTACGTTCATACACTAATTGATATTAATACACCATTAATTTCTCTTTTTAAAATATGAGAATGAAATATTTTTGTTTATATATGATTAAAAACCAATTTTATAATTTATCCTTATATATAATTTAAAATCTTTACTCAAATTTTAATTTCAAATCTCAATTACCATTATCGTTGGGGCATTAAAAGTACATATATACAAAGATAAAAGTACCCGTAGGGAAACCTGCTTCATTTTTTTCATCAAAATGACAAAAAAGGAAGGAGAGTCTTCGTTCAGCAAGTTGAAGAATATGGCTTTAACTATTTCAAAGGATAGCCCACAAATCAGTAGTTCTGTTGAAAATTGAAATCATAGAAAAAGCAAAAGCAATAGAATAGATGGAAAAGGATAGACTTTAACCATAAAAGTGTACAAATTATAATGTAATCAAAGTTTTTTATATGTTAATAAAGAGAAAGTGAGTGATACATAAGATTTGAATCCTTCATACATAAGTTCAAACAACTGGCATGCACATGGAGGTGGGATCAAAATGGCTGAGAAATGCAGAGGATCAAAAGGCAAGGGTTTCAAGCCAAGACAATATGTACTAGCAGCCTATTGTGGGAAGCATGTTTTCTTTTTTATCCAGTGGGGTTTTCGGGTGATCGTATTTTCACGCATATCTTGACTTAAACGTCAATTACTATGGTTAGATAGATGGAACCATATGAGATGAACATTACAACGTTACAGATTCATACATTGAAGAAGATATAGTGTGTGTGAACACAGGATCGTTCTTTTGTTTTTTTTTTGAAAAATCATGATTGGGATGAAAAAGTAGTTATGAGCATAGGGTAACCCCTTTTTGTGGCCATCCTTAGTAAAGGATCATTTTAAGGAAAGTGCCCGTCACCTATGACGACTGTTCCTGGAAGGCCTAGGCCCTGAACAATCAAACCAAACATGGGTAATTGATGCAAGGTTGAACTTGCCAGGTGGTTTACAGATGTACTAAAACAATTGCAGACGTCCACCAGCCACAGATGATCATGTACCGGATAATACAGATTCTTTTTCATGCATATTTTGAAGCAAAGCTCAAGACTTGACAGCCCTGCCTTTTTCAGAAAATTTAATAATTCATTGACAAGCCAAACCCTAGATCACCAAAATTTCAGAATTTCCTTTATTTTTACTTTTTACATAAAAAAGGAAGAAAATCTAACATGTCATGTAAAATTTACATCGAGGTACATTTCGGCCCGTGGCACATGCTGCCCTGCAACATTCGCAATCAATTATAAGGCAGAACCACACATGATAAATCCAGTGAATTCAAACCATACTAACCCCACATTCTGGAAATCCAGGTACACGAACATAGAACATAAATTCGACAGCCAATTCTCTCGTGACACATTTATGAAGTACAATACGAGGACAGTTAAACATTTATATCAAGAACAGAGGCATGCAGAAATATACAGATTTAATCTTCAGAGAACATTCAGGTCAATAAGCAGAGGTAGGGGATATAACAAGTCAGTCATCATCATAAGAGACATGGAAACTGGTAGTGCAGCCTAAAGCCTCAGGGTCCTCGGCCCCGCAGCAGTCATAGAACTTGGCAGCATACGGCGGATCATCAGGTCTCAATTCATAGTACCTTCAATCAATCCAAAGAGGTAAACAGTAACCTAGAAAACATCTGTCCTTATGTAACACAATTGAGAAAAGAGTAAAACGTGTTCAATAAACTTATAAGAAAACATTATGCTAAAACAGGGGTAGAGTTACTAACCCCAGTTATTTGGTTAACTATAAACTTTATAAAACATCATTGCCATAACAGAGACACACACATACACATGCACACTAGATACACTACAATATCTTTCCAACGCAAACAGTCTCCAGAATAGCCACAAACACAAGGAGTCGAGCACCTTACCAGTTCTCTCAAGGGAAACACTCTAGTTTTCTCTCTGTCTCTCACTTACACACCCAAAGTAATAATAAAGCATTCTAGAATAGCCACGACATTGTGAAGTACTTTAGTCCGTTATTTTTCAATTGGAAAAGTAGATACATAAATAAAAATCTGTTCTAGAATATGACACTGAATCACTTCTAATCCACGATATGTCAATACAAAAATGAAGGCGAGCTACCATTTTCTCGAATGGGTAACTGTATTTTTCCATCAACTTTGACACAATCGATTCTACAAATGAACCTCAAACTCATTATATAAACTGCTAGACTAGAGGCGGAAGACAGACACAACCTCCATCCTTGCCAAGCAACTATTTCTAAAACCAGGACTTTCGTGAGAAGTTCGGACAACAACATGTTTAAAATTACTTTTGACTGATGTCTAATGTTTTCAATTTCTAAAAGGCCTTTCAACATCCATTTTGAACAGCTTTTTGTTTAATTCAGTATGATAATGTCCTGATCTCCTCTTTTCACTTCAGAATTTTACTTCATTATAACATTTAAGGAATTATCTCCACAACATTCAGCACTATAGTCCCTCTCCCTCTCTCTGCCCATACATGCGAGGTTGTACAGATGTGTATGGAGAGTGCTCAACAACACTATTACATTGATGCGTTCTCATTACAGAAAAGAGTGATGCAACTTTTTATCAAGAGATAGAGAACATTAAAGTTGCATCACAGAAGATTGTTGATTTCAATTTAAAAAATAAATTAGAAAAAGAGAGAGTGCGTAAAACTAAAACTGAAGGCATGTTTCATCAGATGCCAATTTAAGTAAACATACAAATATGTAGATGTGGTCTCTCCAAACCAAAACTACAAATAGAAGTAGCAGGCTAGCAGCAGTGGAGGTCCTCAAGATTAATGATTAATGACATACTGAGAAAGCTGTCTGACATCCAAATTTTTAAAATGTCAGGGTTGATTGTAGGCAATGTAATGAAATTGCAATGTTAGTTGAAGTAGAAGTGATGAAGACCAATTTATTCAAAAAAAAAAAAAAAAATCAACTCCAAGTGAAAGAGAGAATTGATCCTAGCATCTGTACAGCCATTTAAAAAGCTTTACAAGCGTGCTAGATGGCACCTTCTTGCAGTAGTTGGCTAAGGGTGGTTCATTAGTTTTTGCATCTATGGTGCTCTTGCTCAAGTAGGTGGATGAGGTGATATCTTTGGTGAGGGTGTTTGAATGATTGGATAGCATCAGCCACCAATAGGGCAATGCAAGTTTTTTGCTTACAAAAAAAAAGAAATCCAAGCTAATCTAACACTTAGTTAGCACACTTAAGCTCTATATGAAATGTAATGTACTAAGAAAAACTTCCTTGTAAATGGACAAGGAAATTCATTAAAATATTTAACGTTGGCCTTGAATTGATCAAGAGTTTTGATTTGACAAAACAAAAATTTGTCTAACTTGAATCAATCTTTTCTAAGCCTAAATTGAACATTTTTCCACCCTTCTATCTTGCCAAAATCCATTTGAGAACCAAAACAAGTCAAATTCTCAAAACAAAACCTTATTAGTGCAAGTTTTGATAGAAAGGATCGATCATCTCCTTACCAGATCGATCCCCTAGCAAAAGGGATCAATCATGTCTTCTTCCAGAACCGAAATTCTTCACATTTTGGCAAAAACTAATCGATCCCCTCCCTATAGGGATCGATTGGTTGGGGTTTCAAACTCACCAGATCGATCCCTTCATTCAAGGGATCGATCACTTTTTCATACAGAAAGTTTTCATCATGCCATTTTTCAGAAAAGGGATCGATCCCCTGCATAAGGGATCGATCACCTAAGGCAAGGGATCGATCCCCTCTTCAAAGGGATTGATCGGTTGCTAAAGCAGAATACTCCCCAAGTCTGAAAATCCAGAAAAGGGATCGATCCCCCCATATAAGGGATTGATCACCTAAAGAATGGATCGATCCCTTGAATGAAGGAATCGATCGGGTAAAGCCTTTCAAGCACAAAATCGTGCTTCCTCCAACCTGAACCAATCAATCCCCTAAAGGAGGGGATCGATCTTCTGAAGGTCAGAAACTCACAACGTCTATTTTTTGTCTGAAATTTCTGCAGGTTTGAAGCATTAAATGCATTCCAACGGCTCTCAACTTCTTCCTACCTATAAATTAAGCATTCCACTGACCAAGAGTAACAAGAGCCAAGAGAACTTATTGCTATTCACCTACCAATTTGCTCAAGCATTCAAAGCTGTTCCAAGTTAGAAAAGTGCAGAATTCATATCAGTTCTCCTCTATTTTCTTGTCTAAACTATTGTGTACTTCAAATTAGCAAACGCCCAACCTTTGAGAGGTTCTTAGAGTTTGCAAAACACTTCATAAATTCTGTATTGTGAGTTTGTAAGCTTAAAGGGGAGGATAACCCTTAGAGTGTGTAGTGTTGAGTTTGTAAAGCTTTGAAAAGCTTGGTTGTAATCTTCAAATCATAGTGGATTGAACTCCTTGGCAAGAGAGGCTAAGGGAGAGGACGTAGGTGCCTAAGGAAGGACTGAACCTCTATAAATCTTGGTGTCAAATTCTCTAACCCTATCTCTTATTTACTTTCAATTATTGTGCTTATTTGCTTAGATAATTTATTTGGCTATATTTGTGCTTATTGAATATTATTTTTGAAAATCCATTAAAACCAATTCACCACCCCTCTTGGTTTGTTCCAAATCTTTGAGCTAACATTTAATAATCATGGTTGACTACAGGTATACCCATGTTACCATAAAGCTTAGATATGTAGCGTTTCTGACCAACTTGCTGATATCTTAACTAAGGCAAGTCAGCCAGGTTGTTTGCATGACTTGTTTTCAAACATAAGCTGGCTTCCAAACAGAAGCTGGTTTCTATCTGACCATCTTGTGTTTAAAGGGGCTGTTAATGTACATGTGCAAAATGTGATCATTAAATTGCCTTTCCTGTATTCAATTGTAAGGCTATATGAACCTCAATCTTGCAGACACAACAAGCACAAATCCTAAGGAATTCCAAAATAACTGATACAACTTGCCTTTTCATTCAGCTTGTTTATAAAAAATAAAGGAATCCAGGTGGTGCTCGCTTACTAAGGACTCAAATTTAAATGTTCCTAATTAGACTAAACTACTGGGTTCATGAATTATGGCCACCAAACAGTCCGAGCAGCAAGGCACATTGGTCAAGGTTTCATGATTACCTTTTCCCACACAAATCGTTTACCCGTAACTATTCAATACCCTTGTGAAAAATTAATCGCATCAGAGCGTTTCAGTGGGCGAATCCATTTTGAATTTGATAAATGCATTGCTTGTGAAGTATGTGTTCATGTATGCCCATCTCAAATTTAAATGTTCCCAATTAGACTAAGCTTAGTTCAACCATCATCCGCCAATTTGTTGATTTCTCATTTTTCACAACCAATACAAGCTAGGAAATCTTGAAAGCAAATCAATTTACATCTTATAGCCAAATTTCCAATAAAAATTTTGGTAACAAATCTAAAACTAAAAGAAAACTAAAAAAAAAAAAAGACTAAGAGAAATCATTAGCATTCAGAAGCACCTTTCATTCAAAAGAATCAAAAGGGTATGCAAAATTTTGCAAACAAGAAAATGGCTATTACACTATTACTCATTTCTCAGGCACAAGCAGATAAGAATTCAATTAAATAACAAATAAAATCATAAAAAGCATTCAAATTAGGCAAAAGGGTATTCGAAATCACCCTAAAAAAAAAAAGGTTCAGTTCATGCAGAAAGAGACGATTATAAACACAAAGAAAGGCATGTAAAAAGAGAGAAAGAATTGGGTGGGTACCTCTTTTGGTCGTCATGACGACGACAGACAAAGAACGAAGGATGGAAACGGCAGGAGGAGGGAGTGTTAGAAGATGTATTGTAGCTGTGCTTGCATCTCTTGCATATCTTTTCAGTTTCTTTCTCCATTTCTCTCTTCTTCTCTTCCATTGCTGCCTTGCCAGTGGCCTCTCTCTGCTTTCCCTATTTCTTTCCTGGACTCTTATTAGTGTATGTGTTCGGGTCCCCGGCCCACAGACTTTTATGTTTTCTTTTTCTTTTTGGTTATGTTTATCAGCTTTAAAATATCCACGTAAAGTAGAAATTAGATATTAATATCATCAAGGAAAGTTGTACATTGATATAAAAACTTTTTCAAACCTTACTCTCTTTTATAATATTTTAAAATATCAATCTTTGTATTTAATAATATATTTAAACTCATTTAAATTTTTTTAAGATAAAAAAGCAATTCAAATTAATTCTGTGAGAAGAATCATACATTTTATTATTGACTTTAATAAAAGGAAGATTATATCACTTAAATTTATATGTTTTTAAGTCAACTAAATAAAATGAAGGAGAATTCAATATCAGTAAAAGAGTTCTAGTGACTATGCAAAAATTGTTCTATTACAAAATTGCATTAAGGCAATTGGATGCTCATGCAAAGGGAGTCAATTGCTCTAATTTTGAAAGTTCTATTTTTTAAAAAAAGTGAAAAATATTTTTTTGGAATAAAAAATATGATATTTAAATGAATTAATATAATTTTAATGATTCAAATCGCATCTTTCTTGTTAAATAAAATTATCTTTATTTGAAACAATATAATTAAAAAATCATAATTTTAGGTTTTAATTTCTATAAATAAAGATTGTGAATATTCATTTGGGGAAAGTTCAATAGATTGAACAATACAAAAAAAAATTTATTTTTTTATTTTTTCACAGATAAAGTTGCTTTGACATTATTTCTACGTAAATTGATATTCAAATGTTGATGTTTTCATTTTCATTAAAGAGTATTTAGTATTCAGTGATTTGATATCAGTACAATGTGAAATCAAATAGAATTTCATATATTTTGGAGATATTTTGGTTTTATCTATTTTGCATACTATAATTGATAAAGACAAATAAGTTTTTTAAAAAATGGCATTTGCAATAAGCTTTGAAGTCATTTTCTTGTTTTTTGAAGGTTTCATCTTTAGTACAATCAAGGCTTGTAAAGGAAAACTATGAACAAAAGGTACAAGTAAAAAATCATTATCAAATTTTGCAAAGTTCATGATGAAGATGCATAGTTTAGATCTTGAAAATTTTAACAATAATTCCATTCTTAGAATCACTTTCTATTATAATGAATGGAGAGTTTTATGTATAGAGAGAGGAGAATGATCAATTTATAGTAGTGTAACTTTTATACCTTGTTGGATTCTTGAACTAAATTTATTAAATTTAAAAATATTATTTTGATTTAAATAAGTCATATATTTAATTTGGGTCTAAAGGTCAAAAAAAAAAAAAGTTACATTAGTATAAATGAATCACTACTCATATATATAAATATATATATATATATATGAATAAGGATTCCTTTATATTAGTGTAAAAGTTATACAATTTGATCATTGGATCAAAATTAAATCTACAACACTTATACTTAATCATTTTAATCTAAAGATAAAAAAATTAACTCTTACACTAGTGTAAGTGAATGTTTTATATGTATATATGTAGAAATGATCAATTTACACAGTATAAAACTAATAAAGTTTTTCACATTTTTTTAATCATTGATTGAAATATATCAAATGAATGAGATTAAATTATTTTTCTTAATTTTTTACTTTTCTCTCTCATTTTTTGAATCTACTAAAATGAATAATTAAACAATGTATAAAACTTTTTTAGTTTTACATTAGATAAGTTAATTTACTAAAATTTCTAAACAATGCTAATTTATCCAACAATTTTTAGTAAAAGATGTGAACAAAAGAAACATGTTATTTATAGTGATCGTAATAAAATTAATTAATTATAATTTAATATTATGTGAGATTCATTAAAATTTTATATAAAATTTACATTTTTTGTAATAGATCCCTGCATAAATTTATTATTTTGATTTAATAATAATAACATTATAATAAAAATATATGTACGGATATGCTTTTAAAAAGTTGAAAAATCAATCTTTATCCAACAAATCCTTGAACTGAACATTTTTTATTACCGCCAATGCATGAAGGGATGTGAGGTTTTGAAACCCTTTAAACAAATATTCTAAATTTTCACAAAATGAATTCTTTTTAAAAATCAAAATATTTAAAAATTAAATTTATTATTCTCATAAAATTCTAAAATTTTTGAAATATTAAATTTTAAAAAAAAATTTATTAAAATTTTAAAAAATGATATTTTAAATCAAAATACTGAAAAAAATAAATTTTATATTTATTAAAAAGCGAAAGTTTTCCAAAAAATTATAAAAATATAAAATTATTTTTAAAAAATTTGAAATATGATTTTTTTAAAAATAAAGAAATATTATTTTTAAAAAATAAATATTGAAAAAATTTTAATTTTTTAAAAATAAGAAATAAATTTGATTTAAAAAAATTAAAACCTGATTTAAAAAAATTCAAAAAATATAATTTCATTCATCAATGTTGTCATGTGAGTAAAATCATTGCAATAGCAAAGCCAATGTCATGTTAGCAAGATCAATGCCTACATTTTCAAATTAACGATCTTATCAATATTTTTAACGGTAAAAATTTGATGGAGTTAATGGTTGAACTAAAATTATGATATAATAATTATATTTCTAAGAATAATAATAGAGAAATTAAATTTTAAATTTCCATAGAATATAGGTACCTTTATCATAATTTCACCTAATATTTTTGGTAGTCCTTTTCTTGTTTTTTCTTTTCATATTTTTATGAAATATAAAAAATATAAAAAATATAGTTTTGGAAAATATTAGAAAAAATAAAATAAAAAAGAATGGAATGCAAAAAAATTAACATGAATATCTCTTTGAATGTTTAAAGAATTAGGAATGCAAAAAAAAAAAAAAAGAATTATTTTTTTCAAGTATTTTATCGCAAGTATCAAAACTGGGTTTATATTTTTATTTATTCCATTTACTTTTTTTATTTTAAGAAAAGCGTCATTTTTTCTTGAAAATATCCATAAAACGGGCCTTACTACAAGAGTGGGAGATTACAAAATTAGTTATGCTAACATAAAACCCTAATCTACAATTAAAACAAAAAATTAGTTACAATAGACTCACATTCACGGCAATTAACATGGGGCTAGGGAAATGGAAAGAAACAATTTTTATTTGTAGTTGTGAGTTAACAATGAACGTGTAACTATGGGGCTAAGTTGTTCATAGACTGGACCAAAATCTAGTTGATAGTTGATACTTTCGCATCTTTGCCTAAGATCCAGCCTGGCTTGCCCCTGGAGTCTCGGATCAGTTTGGTTATTATGAAAAAAATATTATTATATTAATATTTTAAAAATAGTTTTGAATTAAATTTACATAAAAAATTTTATTGATAAAATAATAATTTGAAAAAAATTTAAATTTTAATGTTGAAATCATAAAAAAGATTTTGCTTGAAACTGGAAGGCATTTAAGAATTAGTGAAGTTTTTGAAAAGTCTTTTGGAGAAAAACTAAACATGATCATTAACCAAAATAATAACAATTGATTTTTTAGATTATTAAATTAGTTTCAATGAATTAAAAATAATTATAAAATGAGATTAAAATTGTAATAGTAAGATTGATATTAAGAATAGAATAATGTATTTAATAAAAAAATTTGTGATAGAAAGATGAAAAGTTGCGATATAACTAAATAAAAAAGTATCTCAACTATATCATGCCATAAATTCCTTTTAATGTATTAGAAAATAAAAAAAAGTTTAGAGATTGAAAAATAAGAATTATATAGGTGAAAGAATGTAATCTATAATATTATTACATATTAAAAAAATAAGGAAATAATGTAAAAAGAAATAAATACATAATATGAAGTTTTTGTAACATTTAAGTCCAAAAGAAAGAAGAGCATACCAAGTCTTGAACAAACCAACAAACGAGCAAAGAAAAGAAATTACAACACAATTTATACAACAACGACGACGACAACCAGGACACGTGGGAACCAAATCTTGAACAATCCAACAAATGAACAAAGAAAGAAATTACAGGTCATAACACAATTATACAACAACAACCGACACGTGGCAACCTAAGAGCATCCTTGGACTCAACTTTAGAGATTGCAAGAAGAGGAGTAGTTTGGTCCAGCCACCAAGAGGAGCCCGACCGCATACCAAATGATATTGAGATGTGCACTGCCACTCAACATCAATGAAGCCAATTAGGATTTATGAAAATTTCTAATGAATGCTAAATTGACCAACATTTTTATTTAGTAAAATATGTGAACTAAAATATAAATAACAGATGTACCAAAACAAACAAAAAAAAGTGAAAATGTAGCTGTACAAATAGCAATTTATTTTTAGATAAAAAAAAAAGAAAATGGAGATAAACAATTACGACTTATCTTTTCGTAGTTTAAAATGTAAGCAGGTCGTATTACTAGTTAATTAAATCCTAAACATTGATTTCTATACTACCGTCTTAAATCACTTGTACTATTTCTTAGAAAAGCTTATAAAAAAATTTAAGAATTTATATATATATACACGGAGAAAAGAAAGAATATTGAATTGGAAGAAAAAAAATGAAAAAATTATCTGTTACCTAGCAAATCGTCAGGTCGATCATTCCTTTGATGATGAGATTTCATTGTCATCAATCCATATTTTAGAGACATGAGCAATCTTGGCCCAATCCTCCCCCATTTCTGGTTTGCATCTTTCTCTCAAAATTGGACTTCTTTCAATTTCCAAGTGTCTGAGGCGTGGCATCCGCTCTGGCAGAGATGACAACATCGGGCAATCCTCAATCTCCAATGTTTCAAGTGATGTGAGGTCCTGCCTACCTGATAACGTTGTCAGATTTTCACATTCGGCAAGTATCAAGGTTTGCAAGGTGTCAGCAGATGCTGAAAGAAGCCATCGGGGTAGTGCCTCCAACTTTGGTAACCTTCCAATCAACAACGTTTGAAGGCGTAACCCACTGCCAACAAGGTAATCTTGATTATCATCATCTTCTTTTTCTCTCCCTTCCAATCCCAATGTCATATTAAGATCAAGCTTTTCACAATACCCAATTATCAGATGTTTTAATGCGGTTGAAGATTTCAAGCCATGAGGTAGTGAGATCAAGTTTTTGCATTCAACAATCAACAAGGTATTAAGGGATGTGAGGTTCTGAATCCCTTCAAACAAATATTCTAAATTTTCACAATTTCCAATTGCCAAAAACCGAAGAGATTTCAGGTGTTCAAAGCCATTCTCAGATAGAACCCTCTGTCTTGTACTCATCCATAACATTCTGAGACTGATCATGTATCTCATACCTTTGGGCAACTCTTCAATTCCTTCACCACCGATAATCAGAGTTTCCAAACTCTGTAACTTACATATGGAATTCGGAAGTTTCTTGATATTGGAATTGGCTAGGTGAAGATACCTTAAATGCTTCAAACTACCAATATTTCTTGGCAATGCCTCAAGATTAGACCCGTCTAGTTTTAGCACTCACAAATTATGGAACCTCGAAAGGCATTTTTTAAAAAAGGATTCACTGCTAGGGCCCTCTTCCATATTTTTGAAGCAAAATGTGTGCACGTGACGTAACTTATCAATATCAAGCAACCCAAAAGGGTTTTCTTCAAGAAAATCCAAGTTGTCCACGTACAAATGTCGAACCCCTTGGGGAATATTTTGCTTGAAAGAGTTTACTGTGCAGCACTCATTCTTTGTCACTGCTATTGCAAGATCATGTAGAAGATCATGCACTTTAAAAGACTGAAAAACAATTCTTTAACAAAATCTTGAAAAAAAGATCTTGATGATAGATCGTTCAAGTAACGCCTACCAATATCTTCTAGGTCTTCATTTTCATTGGAGGTTTGAAGCAAACCATGAGCCATCCAAAATTGGATCACCTCCCAACTACCAAATGCATAATCCTTTGGAAAGACTGAAAGCAATGCAAAACATTGTTTAAGATGTGGAGGCAATTCATCATAACTCAATTTCAAAACAGGAAAGATGTTATTTTGCTCTTCCACTAATTTCCACATCTCACTGTCTCTCACAAGTTTCCAATCATGCTCTGAAGTTTTGGAGCCGAGCAGACTCCCAAGTGTCTTCAAAACCAAAGGAACCCCATTGCATTTTTTGACTATCTCTTCCCCAATTTTCACTAGGTTTGGAAATTGATTCACTTCCCCTTTCTTGAATGCAAATTGGAGAAACACTGACAAAGCTTCCTTCTCATCAAGACCTTGCAAATAGTGTGCTGCGATTGTGCCCATCATCTCTGCAATTTGGCTACTACGAGTGGTGACTACAATTTTGCTTCCGCTACCTCCTCCCACTAACAGCTGTTTCAATTCATTCCACTTCATAGGATCCTCATTCCATACATCATCTAAAATGAGTAAATACTTTTTCTCATCCAAACAATCTTGGAAGTCCTTCTGTAATTGCTCTAAATCCATGTTACTACAATCGACCCCTTCCCTTTGCAGCTTTAATCATTTTTATCATTAGCGTTTTCAAATCAAAATCATCTGAAACACACACCCACATCTTCAAGTCAAAATGCCTACCCACACTTTCATCATTGAACACCAACTTTGCAAGGGCAGTCTTTCCAAGACCTCCAATTCCAACTATAGGAAGCACATGTGTGTCTTTTCCATCTGTTGGATCTTGCATCAAAGTTGTTATGATTTTTTTTTTGTCTTCATCTCTGCCGATGATATCTGCTGCTTGTACAAAGGAGTGGGTTTCTCTGTCCAAGCGCACGACATGGCTAGTGCCATCATGCCTTTCAGTGAGATGAAAGTTATTTTTCAAAGCAGCAATCTCACCAAACCTCTCAGTAGCTTTTTTCATCTTATGGGCCATCCGAAAGCGAAATGCAATTGGGTTTGAGCTTGAAAAGAAATTGGTTACCTTCTTTCCAAAGCCCCTCTGTTTCAGAACTTGCTTCCGCAATGCTTCAATTTCAAATTCATCCAACACATCTTCTGCATCATAACAGGCATCCTTCACCTCTTGTAGCCAAATCCGCAGCTGATTGTCATGAGTCTGTTTTTCTTCAGCATCCAAAAGCACAGCTTTGATAGTAGTTAACGTCTTCTTAAGCTTCTCAAGGTCACTTTGGACACCACAAACTCGACAAATTTCTTGATAGGCAATAGTGGCTAGTTTATCAAGGACTTTTTCTGCAATGTTAAAGGCGAATGATTCAGCAGCCATGATTTTGTGTCAGAGGGAAATGTGGGTTATTTTGAGGTTACTAATGAAATGGTTTGCAGAATGTTTGGTGATTAGGTTTGCACAAATTAGCTATGAATCGTTATGGTATTTTGCTAACTTGCCTTGCATGTTACAGTATGTTGTTGTCCCCATTTAGCGTAAGACTTCAACAAGTAAAGTAAAAATTCTTGTCCCTTTCACTGCTTAGATTTTCTATCCGAAAAAAGCAAACTAAAGTTTTCAACTCTAGTGAAGCAAGACATTTGTTCTTTGGAGGTTGAGCAAGAAAAACAAAAAGGTTTGAGAAAATCAAAATTCTATCATACAACAACCAAAGGCAACGAATTGTTTGTCTAACAAAGTCTTGGCATCTTTTCTAACGCAAGAAAGAAATATATTAACCAACAAAAAGAGATTGGCTGGATTTAGTAAATTTGTTAGTCTCAACTTAAATGATTTTTTTGTTCGAATTTTATTGATAATTTTTCTTGACGCTAATTTTATATGTATAATTTTTATTTTGTTTTGATTTGAAAATATCTTAAAAGATTGAATAACTTATATATATATATGTATATAATATATCATGTAACATGTACCATGTCGTTTTCTTCATGCCATAACTGCCAAAATGTTGAATATATTGATGTTAATATACAATACAATATTCTTTTGATGACCAGACATACACTAATTATCAACAAGCATAGGCAAATAATGATATCCAATTATTTCTTTGGGATTTACTTTATTTGTCCCTCAAAAAAAAAAATCAAATCCGTTAGAAAAAAAAAATGAAAAAAGCATGTAATATGAATTATTATGGTATAGTTGGACAATTTCAATGTTATAGGGGGCAAAATTCAGCGTTTATTGGCGAGTTGTGATCAAAGTTTTTTCTTAAATACTAGTTCCTTTTACACGTTTCTTGTCTGATGTGGAATTAAAATATCCTCGAAGCACTTGGCATGGATTGAACAGTCCAAAATTTTTTCTAATATTACTTGTCACGTGATCATTACCCTCTCCTTTATTGACTTATCAAGATGTGTAGTACCAATATTTTTTAAATTCCAGTAATTCTCTTTTTATGTATGATATGGGATTAAAGTATCTTGCTTACTCTTTTTTTACACGCTTGGTGTGACACATATATATGATTTAATACAAAAATAATCAATATTAAATAATATTTGGTTCTTGAAATATTATGCAATATATTACCGGTGAAGTTTTTAATAAATAATTGTTTTTATATAATTAGCACCAAAATTCTTTATGTATATATTCTTCTATGTATGTATTCTTTACTTCGGTTTATTTCAAATTAAAATTAAAAAAATTTAAAACTTTGCATTTCAACAATATGTATATTTTTTATTAATTGTAATAAAATATTAATAATTAAAAATTTTGTTTAAAATCTTAAGGTTTTCGATTGAAGTTTTATTATATGTGGGTTTGATTTAATTTTATTTTGAATTTATTTATTTATATTCTAGTTTGTTAGTTAATTATTCAATAATTTTTTTATATATTGATATAATACTTGATTATTAGTGTAATTCATATTTATACTTCGTTAAAAAAATGCTTAAATTATCATCTATGTATAATTTTTTACTTGTTTTTCAAAAACATTATAATACTTCTCCGTTAATAAATTTATTATGATTTCCTTAAATGAATTATAAAAAAAAATTTCTAATAAAAATAAAGTAAATCTTTTATTTAATTAACAAACACAAATATTTAAAGTGCTTGAATGGAAATAATACATTTTTGTTGATATCTTTAGAAAAAACAATAATTGTAAGAACGGTTGATTGATAAAAATTTCTTGTAAACTAATTTGTATTATTAACTTTTCAATTTTTTATTCCTCTAAATTTCTTCAATTTATTTTTATTATCACTTCCTTAATTGGAGTGCTTATCAATAGAAAATTTATATGCATTATAATAGAATAAAAATATTATAATTTAGAAAAATAAAAAACGATGATAAATACAAATACAATAACTTTATCATCAATTTTAGGAGCTACAAGTTTCATTAATAAGTTATTAACCAAAACTAATTAAATATAAATAATAATATACTGATAATTAATCATAAAAATATCTAATTCCATAATTAATTACAAATCACTTATAAATAGAAAAAAGAAAGATAAATTTCATACAAAAAAATTCCAAATTACTTTGAAATAAAATTGTTAGTCATGATTTTCATACAAAACAAGATTCATTAACTTCCTTTATAAAATTTTTGTTTTGATTGGTTATATGAAAATTACTAATTTTATACGTTACTTCTAGTTATACATAACATAATTCATAAGTATCAAGAAATAATATAAATTTAATGAAAAGAAAATTAAAAAATAACAAAAATCAGTTCACATCCTAACTTCCTAGGCTAATTATCCATGCAGATTAAAATGTCATTTTATTAATCAAGAAAAACCTTTCTATATATTTTGAGTCACCATGTCGATGTAAAAGCCATTGAAACTCATCGATTATGTAAATTTCACAATTATTTTAACTCTTTATAATAATTGAATGGAATAACTTTTTTATTATTGTTTATTTAAACACAAAGTAATAGCACTAAACATTTGATTCTTTTTTATATTAAACCCACTAAAACTATCCTTAGTTGGAAGTAAAAGTTATTGAAAAATATCAAACTAATAAAAGTTATTGAACCTCACTTATTATATAAATTTTAGTGTTATTTTAACCATTTATAAATAACTAATAAAAAATCCTACGCTTCGCTTTTGAAACTCATATAATTTTATGCGAAATCAATAATTGTGAAATAAAAGTAATTATATAAATTTATTATAATTTTTCATATCATAACCTTTTTATATGCTCATATATTAAAAAAATTCAAATTCATCCAAAAAATTTTGAGAACGAAAATAAAAGCTTCAACTTCGAAGAAGATAATTTAAATATATTTATTTTATGATAGATGTGTGAGAAACAAATAATATATAGACAAAAAACCTATCTCTTAAGTCTCAGGTGTCAAATCTTCAAATAAATAAATAAGTAAATCATGCCAAGTGTCCCTCCATTATCCTTTTAATTTTTAATTTTTTAAAATTTTCCCCTTTTCCTCTCATTTGCAGCTTTATTTTGCTTCGCGAACCTCATATTTTGAGTCCCTATTTATCTCATTCTTTTTTTTCTCTCTTGCTGTCAGCCGCAATTCCTCATCTCTTCTAAAATACTTTATCCACTTTTCATTCAACAATTTCGCCCTTACTTAATATAAACTCTTAAATATTTATATTGACCTTAATTAACAAAGATATTACCTTTAATGTCCTTAAAAGAACAGCTGTCAACAATATATGCGTAATGTAGTTTATTTTCAACTAATGTGTAATGAAACGAAGCAAATGGCAAAAAAACCAAATAACGATATTATAGTAATTTCACTTGTAGTTAATTTTTATATAGTTATATAAATTATAGATAATAAATTATTTTTCTAAGAATACACTCAATTTTTTAATGTTATCCTTCAGCCCATCTTCAAGTTGATTGAGAGCCTCCAACAGATCCTATGAGATATCCAAATCAATTCAGTAACTAACATCAGCATATAAAGAGTACATAACATTCAGCATAGCTGCACTGAATCTAACAATTAAGTTGGAGGAAAAAAAAGATTTAACATAGAAATACATAGCCAAATAAGTATTAAACCTTTCTTTTTCTTACCTCATCACTCCATGCTTGTGCTTTCAAACTCTGAACAATTTGTGGCAGTCCAAGGTCAACCATCTGAGCACCAAATGTGCCTTTGGACAACAAATTCCTAAAGGTCAATACAACAACCCTGACAACCTGGCAGCCATTTATATAAATCAAACATATATGTTTCAAATGATTAAAATCAATAACATAGAAATAGATTAATCAGCCTGCACTTGAAAGTAGCATTTGTCCCTGGTAATAATAAAAATTCAAAGCCGATACAGTCGTAGAAAAGGTTAAAAGGGCAAAACTGGAAAGCTAGGAAAACAATAGAAGTCTGCTCACATACCACATTATAGGATGCCTGCTCATAGTCATACATACATTTTATTCCAGCAACATGGACATACAAGGCTGAACTTGGATAAAATGAAAATGGACTCAATAACATAAGAAACAAGACCTCACCTTTGTGGAACTCCTAACAACATCAACCAGTCGTGGTAGAGACCTAGATATTGCCAAACACTCAATTGCAGGTTCATAGTAAGATAAAAGCCACACACAGAGACACGTTTCATAAAGAAGCTGTTACAAAGATTAGTTGTCAATTTCAGAATTATGCCATTCAAATGACTTACAAGGAAAAGTTTATCATTTTTTAAATCTAACCACCTTAAAATGTGAAAAAAAAAAAAGAATACCTGGATAGATTGCTAGATGGATGCCAGAGAAATTAAAGGAATCAACAACTTCAACCCATCTGCTTGAACAAAGGAAGATCTGACAACCGGTTCCTTCAGTAATGCCACATGGGAGTTAATAGCAGTTGGAATACCACGACTAGGATGGGAAGGCTTCTTCAGCTGCAAAAAACATTGGGCATCAGGAAGTAAGGACAACAACCATCTAAGTTGACAAAAATAAATAGAACCTTCTCCACAAGATCATTTTGCAACAAAATCAAACATGATAATGAGAAGACCAGAGACTATAATACTGAGATTGGAACTTCCAGAAGGCATGTAAAATCATAGGGAGAATCTAGCCAACATCTACCAAGGTAGTCAACTTATTCCAGCAGTGAGAAATGAGCAATGCTTTGCAGACTATGAAAAACAGAGTGCAAAGCAGTCTGCTAACCTGTGTGCAACGCCATTCAACCAATCCTTTTAGTACATCATCAATGGCAGTGAATTTTTTCCTAGAATTTGAGGCTTCTCCATTTGCAACAATTCCATCCTCGGTTTTTGGCCTTGCACTGTCAATTAATAGAAAGAAGAATGTAAAGAGTCATTAAATAAAGCATGTAAGACAT